AGGGATTCGAGAGCGGGACATTCTGCACCCATGGCCGATGGACCGTGGTTATGTCTGTTTGATCATCCCCTAAGAATGCGACGCACGCTACCCCGAGCTTTCTGAAACCCCAAACCAGCAACTGCCAGCTGCAAGTCGCCTGCCTCGAGGCCTCGGGGGCCGCGAGGCCCAACACCTCGCCCCGCCCAGGATGCGGTGCGGTTCGCTATCATGGTCGACGTGGGCGGTAATGATGATGGTGCTGGTGGTGGTTGCAGCATGCCCAGGCAAGGCAAGCAAGCCCACACTAGGCCCGAGTCAAGGTCCGGGCCCAGATTCAGATTTAGAGGGAAGGCGACGACCAGCTATCCCGCCTCGACAGATCGTCCCGTTACCATGGCCGTGTTCAGTGCGCACCGTCAGGCTGTGAGAGTTCAAGTTGACCGCTGTCTAACTTATGCTTACCGCACGGCCGGGCAGTACTATATCCACTTGTCTGGGAAGTGCTTTTCTGTCATATAATGCCCATAGCGAAGACCTAACAAGTACGGATACTGTCAAGTTGATGGAACGGAGTCCGCGGCTCGGGCTCCGGGGCTTCAGCTCAAATACCTAGCAAGCAACGAGGGCGGAGATGTGTCCTCAAAAGGAATGTGCCCCGTAAGCCTGAATGTCACGATAGCATCTGCGGAGCCCCTCCTTAATCTTAGATGTTTACCACCCGCTTCTGCGTTCTCGCAGCTAGCGGTAAACAATAGAGGGGCATCGGGAGGCTCTAGAATATTGGGCGACGATCACCCTCCTCCTGGCAGGCGCATCCTGTCCCGGCACGGGTACATCGTGAGACTTGTGCTGAGGAGACTGCAGTGGTCGTGGGACTGGATAAGTCAGGTTGAGCAGGGATGGATGTGTCGCCTATCGCCGTCGACGCAAGGGAGGGCCAGTGCCTGGAGCTGAGCCAACAGGTCCGTTCACGTGAGTGTTTACGAATCAGCTCGAGGTGCTGAGGCCATCGATGCCTGCTGCTATTTTTGAGCCCAGAAGTGGATAACGGGACCTCATCACATGGATTGGACCATTCCAACACCCCAAAACACGTGCGTCCCCAAGTGCTCGTACGTACAATAGGTAGGTGGTTGCCAGCGATTCAGACTCGCTGCACCACGCGGCCAGTGGCGACGTTAATGTCCATATTTTCCGAGATGGCATCGCGGGTTCAGATGTCAAGCGTAACGCCTGAGGACCGCCGTCATCATGGGCTCGTCCCCGCCAAACAAACCCGCTGGCGGGGCGCCTCTCTTGCCTTGGTGGAGCAGCACTAGCAGCAACATCTATCCGTTGAGGAAAGAGTGGTGATCAAGTCTAGACCCCTCGACGCACGCCGGGATGCCTGTCAGCTTGGTGCCAATTCGTCATGACGTGGGGGCCTGGTTGACCAGTGAGCAAGCCAGACAGTCAGGCACGCTGCTCATGGATCATGATTAAGTCGAGGGAGAAGTGTGCTTGGTCACTCGGAACGAGGCCTTGGGTACAGCGTCGGATGGGATGGGGATGCTGCTAGTCGGGTCGTGCTGACTGATCCTGGAATAGGCAGTTTCAGGAAAGGACCCTGGGTGGATTCGGCCTAAGCTTAAGCCGTAGGAGCCAATCAGAATCCTGAAGAGCTGGCCTTGCAAGCGCTACGAGCTCTTCAGGTCTCTCATTGGCCCCCTCAGAATCATCCCATGATGCGGAGTGGAGCCCAATGGGCCCGCCTGGGTATGTACCTTGACTCTCACACACCTGCGAGTGGCCCCGTCGCCAGCCAACCACATCCACTCGCTCTTACCTATTCTCTCTCTCCCGCTGTTTCTGTCGGCTATTGCTCTCTTGCAACGTCTGGCCTGGTGTCCTTCCCGTCCCACCTATTGGACTGGGACCATATACACCCACACACACACACACACACACACAGAGGTATACCGGTACCACACATACCCACTCGCATCACGATGAATCAAGACGGGCCAGAAATAGCTCCTGCTACTTCAAGGTTACCTGCTTGTCTGTTCAATTGGGGATCGTTGCACGGCGCATGCGGGAGTGAGATCGGGTCGCAGAACCTTCGGCCGCCTCGGCCTTGCTCTGGTGTGTGCCCGGCGGCTGCTGAGATTACCTGCCAGCCGTTCACCACCTCTCCTTTCCACCACTTCGACTGCCTGCCTTCTTGTTTCGCGCCCTTCCCCGCCTTGCCTTGCCTTGCCTTGCTGACGAGGGGCTCCGGCCCGCCAGCAGGTCGAGGACCTTGACGCCGGCACTGCATATGCCGTCGAGGAAACAGGAATAGAAACATCACAAGCGACGCGGTGATGTGATGTGCCTGGCGGCCTACGTGGGCCTTGAGGGAGAAACATCGACTTCCTAAACTAGGTGGTTGCCAGGCTCTAGCTCAAGCGGCATAGGGAATCGCCCGGCAACGACACACTACGAAGAACAACTCTAGCGATGAGGTGAAACTTGAACCCCCGACGACCTACCTAGTTTACCAAGTACGGAGTGCCTGTAGAGAAAGCGACCGGGATCCAGGTCTGCCGGCAGTCGACATTGGCTGGCTTCACCATCGCCCACCCTACCGTCAGCTAGGTAAGTATTTCTCCGGCCGCGTGACGGCTGCCATCGCTGGCGTACCTGCCGCTCACCTGTCAGACCTGCACGGTAATCCCCGAACAATGTGGGCGAGTTCCACCAGAGTAGTGTAGGTACAGTACTTACTGCGAGCGGGAGGCTTTCTTCAAACTTTGCGGGTCGGTTCGGAAGTCGTTGACATCCCGATACCCCAACCGGCACAAGGCTGCGTCGTTTGGCCACGAGATGACAGATACGGATACAGCCAAGTAGGTACAATGGTATCCGGCCGAAGTTAATTACCCCTGTTAGGTAACTAATGTTCACCCCCCTACTGCAGGACTTCACTTTTGGTGAATATTCCCCCTCTACTATGATATCAGCTGTGGGGGGTAACATCATAGGGGTAATTAACTTCCCCCTGCCACCCTGTAGGTACCATGACCTATCTGTAGGTATGCGCGTAGGACAACTCTGCCCAAGGCCCGCAGCATCTCGAGTACCTGGATGGATACGGCTCGGTGGGGCTGGGAAAGCCCCCAACCTCTGCGAGATTCTGAAACGACAGGGGAGAGATGGCTGATCTTTTTCGCCTCGCTGAGTCGACGAAACAGGACACTTCGACGTCGACTTCTTTCTTGACCTGTAATGGTGGGCACCACGACAACCTCAGTGGGAAGGAAAGCAATGCACCCCCTTCCAGCGCCGTGTCGGCCGCTTCCCATCACCCAGGACGGTATGATTCGTGCATGAACCTGCCTATTCAGTACGGACATCTACTGCGCACTGCGGTGCGGTTCTCCTTGCGCTTGAACCAAAGTTGCGGTGACGGCGGGGAGCCACCGTGGAGGATGCAACACACCACCAGCCAGCTATACCAGCATGCACCCAGCCATCTATTTCCGCCGTGGTTTCCTTGACAAAGTTTCCCCCACCCTTGGTACGACGCTGGTCGGTTCTCAACTGCGAGCACGACCGACTGGTCGTGTTGATGTCAACCCGCAGGCCCTTCTCCAGTTTTCCGCTGCACCCGGCGACTTTGTGATTACAGATACACGCAGAACATGGGTATCGCCGCGTTGCGCCTGCGGTCTGGAAGCGTCACGGTGTGCTTGAGCCAATGTTGTGCAGCACCCGAAACACGGCGAGAGGGGCGATTTTCAGGTACATGAAACACGAGCGACGAGCCATCTAACGACATGTCGCGTCGTCTTCCAGAACGATTTGAAGTAACGATCGCCCGTTTATGCCGGCGTTGGGCCTGCTGGCCTTGCTACCATGGGTTACTACCTATACGAAAGGGGCCTCTTTTCAGCAGGGCTGGAACTGGACAATTACATTGCGTCCCTTGCTCGCGGACTCGGGGTCCGTCCCTCTGCGCGGTATCCATCTTTCTCTCGACCGTTCCTGTTGGTTTAGCTACGCCTGGGCACCACTCATGAGATCCTTTCCCCCAAACGGCGGCAGATGCCAAATGGGGCGGGAGGTATCCGTACTCCGTAGGCATATCAAGATGAGCTCCGCTACGGGTGCTTCTCGCGTCGAGCTTTGCGGGCCGCGGCAGACAGCCAGGCACAACTCGACTTGGCTGCACACTATCCGCGCGAACTACTACACACCTAGCGTACGCCTTCTCAAATCAGACTAGTCGCCGGCCGCCAGCCAGCAGCAGCAGCCTCATCCTCTCCGTACTCGGGGAAACTCCCCGATGGATATCACACCGCCGTCCTCACAAGTCCGGACGAGGCATCAGCTGGCTAGTGTCATTTCCCAGTTTGGACACACGACTGTGCTAACTGCTGCTCTTATTTTTGGCCGTATCTCAAACTTGACGGCATCTGCCATCAGGTTTTTTTATACCCTTACCACCATCAGTTCTGCCGCCCACCTGCTCTTGTTTCACATCGCCACGTTTGTTTCGCCGCCCCAGCAGTCCCATGGACATGAACAGGCTCATTCCCACCACGCACCGTCCCTCTCTGTCCCGCAGTTTACGTACCGGTACTCGTCCGAAGCGGTAAACACCTGGTTAGGTCGGCTTTTGTACGGCCTGGGTGGCGCACACTACTGGTGAAGTGTTCTCGACGCTGTGACCGAGTTGCACAGGTAGTGCTCAGGCAGACATCTGAAACCTTGACAGACGAATTGTCCAGTCTTTTTTCCGTCACTAACAGACGTCTCCTCCCTCCCTCTCTCTCTCTCTCCGGCGTCCGCGGTTAGATTCACCCGCCTCGTGGTCATGCTATGCCGCCTGCCTTGACTGCTGTAGTGTAGTCCGCGTCCGTGGGCGAGGAAGCGCCGACATAGCCTCCCGAGCTGCATGGAACCCTTCCATCTCGCAGCCGAGCTTTGGCTCCATCGCCGGTTGTTTCTAGCCACCTGCCCGCTTCCTGCGTCCGTGGCGGTCGCGATGCTACCTACCTGTCACTGTCAGTCTGCGCCACTGGCGCCTGCTGCTTCCAAACGAACAGCACCGACGGGCCCATCAAACCAGACCTTGTCAGCCGGGCAAACATCCCCTCTCCCGCTTTTCGCTACAGCCCAGCGTCTGCTCCCCCCTCCACTTCCTGGCCCACGATCTTCCAGGCCAAGGTCTTCCCAGATCGAAGAGCTTCCTCGGCCTCGCCTCGCCGGTAGACCCCTGGACGAGATCGACTTCTGAAACCGCAGCCCTCGTCCGGCTGCGCCTGCTATTGGTGTATGCCGCCCTGAGGCATAAAGATCCGAGGACGCTCAGACTTGGGACACGCAGGGAAGCGCCGCCCTCTCTCGTCCGGTTGACTCGTTTGGTCCCCTGAAAATAGGGGTGGCCTGCCGGGCGTCGCCTCCGACTGGCCGGGAGGCGGGATGGCGAGTAGGCGAGGAACCAAGAAACCTGCATATTGACGGAGGCCTTGTTCCCTGCACGTGGCGCCTCGTGAACTCTCAAGGGAGGGAGGGGAAGGTTTGCCGAGCCCTTCATGCTCTCGCGCTTGGCGCCGGCAAGGCTGGAGCGATCACCGAGGACTGGGGACTTGGGGGCGAAAAGATAGGTAGACAGAGAGGAGAGGGAGGAGGAGGAGGAGGAGGAGGAGGAGGAGGTTGTCGTAAGCTATGCTGCCCTCGTTGCGTTGGTATTGTGGACGGACGGCCATGAGGCGAGTCGGGGGGGCCAAGAATCGATGACGGCGAAGGAGGCAACAGCCAGCCATCCTCCCCCCTAGTGTCTGAAGATGTCTTGCCGTAGCATGACGATGACTTGACAGCCCTGTACCATGGCATCACCAGGTCCATGCCGTTCCTCCACTTTGCCGCCGTTCGTTCTCTTATTCCTCCTGGTACTGTCGACTGTTGTTGGGCTTGCTTGGACGGGTTCAGCCGGTCCGGATACAGCCCTCCATCCTCCACCGGTTCTGTTGTCAGCATGACTCCAGAGGGCATAAGCAAGGCCTTGCTTTTCAGGGCCGCAGTCCATTTATCCGGAATCCAGCATTTGCTTGCCACATGTGCTGCCCCGGTGTTCCCTTATTCATGGGAGGGCGGCAGGGAGAGGAGGAGTGAATCGGTTCGCATTGCGAGTCGTGGGCGTCGGTACGCAAACCTCGCCTGATTCTGACAAATGTACCGAATAGAGAGGGATACCGAGATGATGGCGGTCTCTCTGGAGCAAGGCACTGCCGACTTGGACCCCTTGCGACGGGAACTGCCCTCACAGCTTGGGCCGAGTTGGCGGCATCAAGAATGGCATTATTGCCTGCGTAGCGCCGTGCCCGAAAAGCCCTTGGCCGTTGTGCGTAATCAGCAATTAGGGTTTGAATCGTCTACTTCTAGAAAGAGGATTTGCCTCCTTGTTTTTTTTTATGGTTTTCTTTTCTAATTCTCGGGACGACGAGGACCAGAGGCAGGGCGGGCGGGTGGGCACGGGACTGCGACTGACTCTTGGTTAGTTCTTCCTTTTCACGTGTGCCCGATGGCCCGACGTGGGCAGCGGATCACCGCGTGGCTCCGAAGGGTTCGGTTCGCATCAGACTTGTCCTCCTCATCGCTGTCCTCCGTCGTTCCCCCTGCCGCCAACCCTGGCTGGGTGAGGCGGACTGTCCGAACCAAGAGTGCGGGGGGGGGGGGGGGGGCGGAAAAAAGGAAAACGGAGAGGAAAGAGGCAACTCGCCTCCAAATGCGGAGAAGTCTCTTTCTTGTCCCTCCCGAGTGGGTTGGTCAATGGTTGGGGGGGGGCTACCTATTGCGTGAGAATGACGGAGCCCGGATCTCTCCTTTGAAGTTTATTCAAGTGTTTAAAAAAAAAAGTTGAGTTGGGTTCGGCTGATCATGGCATGTTGTGCCCGTGTGCGAAGCAATCGAGTATCTAGAACCCCCCTCCCCCCCACCGCTGCGTGCGTGTTCGTGTTGTTGGTTGGTGGGCGGATTCATGCTGCTCGCGCGCGTGTGTGTGTACGTACATTGACTCGAGGTCCTTGATGATCTGATGTCGGGGTCGGATGGGATTATGTGACGGTGACGCGGACGGGCGAGCGAGCGGGCGGGCGAGCGGGCGGGCGAGAGAGAAAGAGAGGCAAGGAGGGACTACTCGATCATGGTGGGTGGTGACCCGTCTCCGGGTCTACGCAACCACAGCCCTCGTGCGCGTCATGTATGGATGGGTGGGGGTTTCTGGTTTGCTTCTTTAGTCATTGAAGCGCGGTTCACCACGAGAAAGACAAGTGTCTCCCGGCGGGAGAACCGTCGGTCCTCTCTCGAATGAGGCGTTTGCGGCAGCTTTGCGCGCTGTCTCGGTACACCGCACACCGCCCACACCCCCCTTCGTTATGAGCTGTTGTTTCAATGACTTGTGGCGCGATGCGCAATATGGCGTTGGGTGCACCCCCGAAATTGTCCGGGTCACGATGGTATTTGTCGGGAGGACCGTGGTCCCGTGCCGGTTTCCTGTTTGCTGCCGACCGGTGAACCAAGGCCGGGTCGAGGTTATGAATCGCAAGCAGTCTCTTGGGCCGTCGATCATGTTTCGTTGTTTGGTGAGTTTGGAGGACACCACGCTGTTTGGCACCAACATATCTTCTTATTGTCTTGGATCTGCATTCGTGTCCGTAGAGCTCGGGAATTCTTTCTGCTTGAAACCGTACTGTTGTCGTCGGATCTGCTATTACGCGCGTACGTAGTATCACTTTGAATCAGTGTCGTTCGTCCTGATGCTTCACAGCTCATCCAGTCAGCTGCTACTAATCCAGTGCGGCCCCATACGGCCTCTGTCAAGGTTGTAAGAAACAAATGTGGCTCTTGCTGTGTTTCCGGCAGAGCGGGTTTGTTATTATTGTTGTTATCATTATGATCATGACAATTACTACTGTTAGCGATCCACCGGTGCTACCTGCATCCTGGGATACACGTTCAGATGAGATGTCCACGGTGTTGAAACATGTATCAAGTTGTTCAACTATTCAGTCGTATCCACGAGGGAAACGAAACAACCAGGAGGCTGCCGTATTGGCCATGGCCGCACTTTTCAAGTATCCCGTAGCTCAACTGACCCAAGGACCACCCCGATGTCCTGAGTCTTGCTTCGTACGTCCCAGGCTTTGTCGAGGTAAAAGGCTGTCTAGCGTAAACATTCTCGTTCTCTAGTCACTCTGCCCTTCCCAAGTGAGTGCAAACAAGATGTGTGAGACATTCGTAACCCCAGCAGGGCGTGTCGTACACCCCCCCCCCCCAACAACAACCCGATCGTGACGCTACTCGGACTACAGGCCTCGTGGGCCTTGGTCGAAACAAGCTCAGCGGATTGATTGACATGCTGCCAGTTAAAGTCAGAACTACGGTTCCATTGACATGCCCCCGCTAGTTCTCTCTTCCGAAGGGCCTTTCCGTTCTGCACAGGCGGGTGGCTGCCTTTAGCCAGGTATGCCTCTGTATCACCGCGTCGAAGCTTCTGAAGCAGATTGCAAGTGGCTTAGCTATGGTGTACAGTCTGCGACTCTTCGCCTGTTGTCCTCTGTGATTTGCTGGGGAGGTAAAGAAGGCTTAAATGGTGTTTGGGCTCCGGTGTCAGGTAGACTATGTCGCTTGTTGATGTCTCTGAGACTGCATTTTGAAGTAGACAGCCATGCGGACAACATCGCCAGTATCAAGAGCCCCGTTTGACCACGGTTTTCGGACGTTCGAACCATGGTAAAGCGACCCTTCTTATATTATATCCAGTGACATTTTGCGGATGCGCTTGTTGCTATAGGATCACAGAAGTCGCATAACTCATTTGGGCGGTTCTTGACATACTCCCCCCCCCCCCTAAGCCAGCGATGTGTAGACACCATCTGGGATAAGTCCTCAATGTTTGATATCAAGCAATTAGCTTAGCCAGATACCTAAGAATACCCTGTTGCTATGAACTGCGCTGCCTAGTATTTCAAGTCCTCGAGAGCCGAGTACGTCGATGGGGTTGCAGGTTTGCTGAAACCTGACCGTGTGCTAGAGACAGTTTCTGCAGCCCGTCGCGCCAAAAGGAAGAGTTTTGAAGCCACCTACTCCTTCTATTTCACCAAGAGATGTACGAGCAGTGTAGCTCATACGGGAATGCAATTGAGAAGCAGCTACCGTGACGAATACGAGACTCACACATAACGATGGGTTTATACATCCTGGCAGGAAAGAAGACACAGAGCAGTGCGACGCCGAGAGCGGTTTCTACCTAGCAGCCACAGTTCTGTAGATCTCACTCTCCTGCTTCCAGGTCTCTTGCTTTTCACCTCTTGTCACTGCCGCATTCTCCGCTAGAATGACCTCGGACTCCAGGTTCGAATAGGCTTTCACTTCCACATACTGAGTCTCTTCTAGACTGAGTGAGGATTCAGTGAAGATCAAAGGTAGAATCCGAGCTCCACGCTGGTTTCGAGCGAGACAACACAAGGATAACTGTATAGAAGCGAAGCTACGATTCCTGGTATGCTGCTACTGGCATACACGTGAATTGGCCCTGACATACAACTAATTTGTCGAGGACATAGACGGCGGCGTTCAAGCTTACCCTATTCCTGAAATGATTCTGTGGACCTCCACGCTACCAAGGCTATCAACTCGGTCAAAAGTTGACTTCAAAAGTGCTCAATGCCAATATTCATATTCCTTTCTGAGACGCTAAGCTGGTTATCAAAGGGCAGAGCCACCGTCGCTCACGTTAAACGGTGAGACTGTAGTCTCATTATTCGCAGAGGATGAAAAGCTTCACAAGCATGAGGTTAACAGTAAGACTGGCTGCCTTGCGCTACCTAGGCAATGCAATTGTACGCCAAGCCCAACGATATCTGTATCCAAGTAGCTACTTGCACCAATGTGGCAGGACGCCCATCATCATCTACCGTCTTCAGCACAATTGCCATGCGCAAACAACAAGAGAAGAGGCAAACAATTCTACTGGGATCGCGCTCTATCATGTATCATCATTGTGTTGAAGTTGCTCTTCTACAGCCTTTATCTGTATTCATGTCCTAGACTTACCAGTCTTTACCGGTAGATACTTGGCATGGCCATGACTTCAGAGAGTCCAGTAGATATTGAGAGCATGAAATAACACAGTTCACTCACGGCATTGTTTTGGACAAGTCTTGCTCTCTATCTCTAGTGTAATATGGCGTAGGAACTAACAATAGTGAATAATCACAATGTAAATCAAGCATTCTGAGAACAGCCTCTCGGCTTTCCATAGTAAGAATTATGTTTTGGATTATATGGAAAAGTAGTATGTACCATGGTATCTGCTCTGGACGATTAATTACTGGACCTCTTCTCGTTTCGTGGGTGGGATGACTTTGTGAAGACTCGGCAGCGTGGGCACTAGGTAACAGGACTGTAAAGACTAAGAATTCTTTTCTTTGAGTATGAGTGTAATTCTAAGATACATACAGATGAAATCTCTCGTGCTTCACTCCAATTCGGGGGCTCGCTACCGCAGCCGCATACGGTCCCAGACGCCACGAC